CTGGATGGATTTTTAAGGGCATTATGTTGAGTGAAAAAGCATCTCAAAAGTAATAGATGGTAGTTCCCCCTTATGTGTGGTGAATATGTTCCAAGATCCCCAGTGTATCCTATCGAGCCCTATATATACACCAAGTCTTTTCCTATATATACCTATGATAAAGTTTAATTTATATATAGGCACAGTAAGAGATTAACAACAATAACTAATAAAATAGAATGTAACACTATACTGTAATAAAAGTTATATGAATGTAACTCTACAGGCATGCACCACTACATCCAGCTAGTTTTCTATTTGATCTCTCTCAACATATCTTTTGTCCTCAGGAAATTGAGATAGTAAAAAGCGGAACCTTGGATAATGGGGGACTTCTGTAATGTGATTTCATTTATATAGTGTTCTCTTTTTTTTTTTTTTGAGACAGAGCCTTAAGCTGTCCCCTCTGGGTAGAGTGCTGTGGCATCACAGCTCACAACAACCTCTAACTCCTGGGCTCAAGCGAGTCTTCTGCCTCAGCCTCCCAAGTAGCTGGGACCACAGGTGCCCACCACAATGCCTGGCTATTTTTTTGGTTGCAGCCATCATTATTGTTTGGGGGCCTAGGCTGGATTTGAACCCGCCACCTTAGGTGCATGTGGCTGGCACCTAAGCCGCTTGAGCCACAGGCGCCGAGCTATATAGTGTTCTCGAAACGACAACTTGCAGAGATGGAGAACAGATTAATGGTTGCCAGGGGCGAGCATAGGGAGGAGGGTATGACATGAAGAAAGAACACACAGGAGTTTCTTTGGGTGACAGAATAGTCTACATATTGATGGAGGTGAAGGTTACACAAATCTATGCATGTGAAAATATATAGAACTAGACTCCAAAACCCAAGAGTGGGTGAATGTAAAAACTCCAATGGGAACTTCCTGGTTCTAACTGTACAGTAATTATGTAAGATGTTAACATTGGGGGATGCTCAGGGAACAGGATATGAACATTTTCTAAACTTTTTTTTTTCTTTTTTTTAAAGAGACTGGGTCTTGCTCTTGCTCAAGCTGGTCTTGAACTTTCGAGCTCAAGCAATTCACCCACCTCAGCCTCCCAGAGTGCTAGGGTTACAGGTATGAGCTACCATGCCTGGCCCAATTTTCTAAATGTTTTAAGCAACATCTGTGTGAGTCTAAAATTCTTTCAAAATAAAGTTTTCTCCACAGTGTGGTATGTCAGATCTCTGAGGCTGGCACTTAGGAGCACGGTTCTGGAAGCTCCCCCAGGAGACTAGCCCGTACACAGGCTTCTTTTTGCTTTCCCTTATTGACCTCTAGCCTTATGTATGGTGGGAGGGGAGAGAGGTTGAAAACACAGCTGATGGCTGGGCACGGTGGCTCATCCCTGTCATCCTAGCATTCTGGGAAGCTGAGGCAGATAAATCACATGAGCTCAGGAGTCCAGACCAGCCTGAGCAAGAGCGAGACCCCATCTCCACTAAAAATAGAAAAACTAGTTAGGTGTGTGGTATGCACCTGTAGTCCCAGCTACTTGGGAAGCTTGAGGCAAGAGGATCTCTCGAGCCCAAGAGTTTGAGGTTGCTGTGAGGTATGACACCATGGCACTCAACCCAGGGCAACTGAATGAGGAAAGAGAGAGAGAGAATGGAAGAAAGAAAGGGGGGGGGTGGCACCTGTGGCTTAGTGAGTATACCGAGGGTGGTGGGTTCAAACTCAGCCCCAGCCAAACTGCAATAACAACAAAAAAATAGCCAGGCGTTGTGGTGGGTGCCTGTAGTCCCAGCTACTTGGGAGGCTGAGGCAAGAGAATCGCCTAAGCCCAAGAGCTGGAGGTTGCTGTGAGCTGTGATACCACAGCACTTTACCAAGGATGACAAAGTGAGATTCTGTCTCTAAAAAAAAAGGAAAAAAGAAAGAAAGAAGGAAGGGAAAGGGAAAGACAAGAAAAGAAAAAAGAAAACAGCTGACAGCTGATCTAGGGGATTCCTTTTGTTTCACTGAACACCTCCTTCTTGTCAGCTTTTGTCCAAGAGGAGCTATGGATCACACAACCAGACTGCCAAGCTCACACCTCAATGCGGGTCCTGGGCCTGGCAACCAGGCTAGAATTCTCCACTTACCAGCTGTGTGGCTGCCAGGAAGTTACTTAACCTCTCTGTGAGCAACCCAAACTCTGCTACCGATCATACCCACTCCATAGGGTTGCTGTGAAGAACACATGAGACGATTCCATTTTAGTCTCTTCAAAAAGCACCAGAAGATGTTTAGGGAGCTGGCTCTGTGAGGCTTCCTTTCCGGGGGAGGTCGACAACGATACATGAGGGAAACCACATGCAACGTGAATACGCACACATACAAAAATTGGGTGGCCTGATGGAGACCAGGTGGTCGGGAAGGCCTTGCCAGCCTCAGGAAGCAAGGAGAGGGCCCAGGAGAGGCTGCGAAAAACCCAGACAAACCAGAGACACCCAAGGATACCTAGAGACCAGAGACATCCAGAAACTGAGGGATTCAAAGAAACTGAAAGACTCAGAGACCAAAGAGACCCAAGAAGACTCAGAAAGACCTGGGGGACCAAAAGACCTAGAGGGGCCAAGAGATTCAGAGATACTCAGAGTCCCAGAGACCTTGTCCCAGCAACGTGCAATCAATGAATGAATTAAAACTTGCCCGCCCGGCCCCTGCGCCCTGGCCTCACTTCCCACCTAAGCACCTTACTTCTGCATTTATCAATGGAAGAACGGGGGTCATGGCCCCCTGGCCATCCTGTGGGGGTTTCAAGACCTGGGGTCCAGCTTCCCTCTTGTAGGTGATGGAGCGTTGGAAAAACTTACACCTCAGGAAGCCGCAGCTGGGAGGTGGATGGTGGGTGGATTCACAGTTAAGGTAGGCTGGGAGGACCAATTCTCGCTCCTCCCCAGCAAGAGCCTGATTGGTGGAGGGGCTGCCTAGGGCGGGGCATTTCCACTCTCCACCCACCCCCCACCCCACCCCACCCCCGCAACCCTGCGCCGGGCTATAAAAGGCCACTCGCAGGTGGCCTGGGAATTATGCTGTGGGTAGCTCCAGAGCTCCGGTAAGGCTTTTTGTTGGGAGTGCTTGGGCTGCTTTGGGGGGGGGGCTCAGAGGAGGTGCCCAGGTTGACCCAGTTTGTGTACGGCAACTTCTCTTGCACCCCTTGGTTAGCGTTTCTCTCTTGGAGGATGAGGCCCAAGTTTGGAAAGTAACTAGAAATGTTTGAGGTGGCCTCACCTTAACTTGCTCCAAATCCAAATATTTGTCTAACATAATTTCTCTCTCTCCGCCATATCCCCCCTATGTTTGGGGTCGGTAGCACTCCATTTTTCAGTGCAGAGCGGAGTGGTGGTGGTGGCCACCATGGGTTGAGGATACCAGAGGGGCAAACCCGTAAACTCCTGGGCTTCACGTTCAAGTGGCTGTGAGGCCTCACACTTCGGTTTCCTAATTTAAAATGCGTCTTCTGTTAAACGTGCCTCCTTAGCAGGACGGAATAAAACGCCACCCCAAGGCACTTAACACAGCTCTAGGCACTTAGGAAGCCTGGACAGTGTCTGTGGCTGCTGCTCTTGCCCTCTGGCCTGGGGTACCAGGTGGAAAGTGGTGCTGCAACCTCCAGATGCTCTTTGCTTCTTTTCTGGCCTCCCCCCCCATCCTTGCTGCCCTCTGTTCTGAGCCCCCAAGGCTCAGCATCCATCCCTCCCCCATCCTAGTCTTCTGGTCTCAGTCCCTTGGTCAATGAGAGGTCTAGGGTGTAGGTGCTAAGTCCTGAGCCTGCCTTCTCTACAGATCACCCTGCCCCATCCTACCCTGCTCCACCTCCACCCCCAGTGAGATGAGTGAGGCCCAAGACCCTGCCTATGTCCCTGTGGTTACTACTCACTTGAGCCTGGGGGGCTGCAGCTGGCAAGGAGGAGGCACTGGGTTTCTCCACTCCCGGCAACACAAGGAGCTCCAGGCCTTCCTCAGTCTTCTGGGTGAGTTTCCTTTGGAGGCTGGCATGAGAGGGACTGTGGGGCCCAGTGTGAGAGCAGATGTGAAAGACAGGATCTATCCGGCTGTCCATGTAGGCCTGAGGCCTCTGTCCCTACCCTCATAGGTGGCTCAGCTTTGGCGGGTTGGGGTATTCCTGTCAGAAGGTGGGTTCAGTGGCAGCTTGGGCTTTGAAGCTTCTAATGCCACTCTTTGGGAGGTGGTGGTAACCTGGGCCCCCTGTTTCTCTACCCCTAGAGGACAGCCTCATCCAGGAATTCCTCTCTAAAGACCCCTGCTTCTGGATTTCGGATAAGGTGAGGCAGTATAGTGGGGGTGAGGTTGAACTAATGGGAATGGAGTGCAGCTTTCTTACTGGGTCACTGGTCTGGTGGGAAGAGCCACTCCCTTCCCATCCTTAGACCTTTTTCTGTGTAGGCCCCTCCCCACCATTCTACCATCTTTTCTTCACTGTACCAAAACCTCCTTGGGTACAAGTGGCCCTGGCCCCCAGCCCCTCCTCCCCAGAGCTAACTCCAGCCCCCCTCTTCTGTCTCTGCAGTATCTCCTGGCGATGGTGCTGGTCTACTTCCAGCGTGCTCACCTGAAGCTCAGCGAGTATACCCATAGCAGCCTGTTCCTGGCACTGTGAGTGGTGGGGTGGGCAGCAGTGGAACTTCTTGGGAGGTGTTCAATGGGGCCAGGCAGATGCTGTGGCCTCTGCTTGCCGACCCTGTGCTGTTGTGGCTAGGTACCTTGCAAATGACATGGAGGAGGACCTAGAAGAGCCCAAATGTGAGATTTTCCCATGGGCCCTGGGAGAAGATTGGTACCTTCAGGTGGGAAAATTCCTGCACCAGAGGGACAAGCTATGGGCACGGATGGGCTTCCAGGCAGTGGTGAGCCGCCAGTGCTGTGAGGAGGTGAGGCTGGGCAGCCTGCTGGGGTGGTAGGAAGGCTGAGCTTGCCCTGCATTCACCATCCCCTCTGCCTCTCCCAGATCATGGCAATGGAGCCATCCCACTGGGCTTGGACTCGGGAGCGGCGCCCCCACCATGGCGGGGTTCAGAGGGGCTGTCCACAGGTCCCAGGCCGCTTCCCCCGGGGCCCTGGCCTCTCACCACCCCACTGTTCCCTCTGTGGCTCATCCCAGCACCACAGCCACCACCATCCTTTGCCTGCATTATCCAAGTGCCCAGCCCTGACCTCAGAGTGCCATCATCCTCATTCCCAAAATTATCTCTCAGGGGTCAAAAACCCCTGGGGTGGAGAGTTTCTCATCATTTTGCCCCCTCAGATGCAGCTAGAGCCAGGCACCTACACCTTCCACAGTGAGTTGGGGACAGGAGCTAGGGGATTAGTGGAGTCCGGGAGGCAGGAACTGGGGACCAAGAGAATGGGAGGGAGGAGCACACAAACCTGGGGGAAGGCTCTGACCTCCTAGCTGGGTGGACTTGGCTAGTTTCCCCTCTGAGCCTCTCTCTCCTCTCCCAGTCTTCCCAAAGCCTTCACCACGCCCCAGGCGCTGATGCCTCACAGAGGGAAGAACAGCCCACCAACTGGCCGATGACCACTGACCATTCCCTGCTGGCTGTGCCCCACCTCTAGCCTCCAGTCTTATGGGTCTCAGGCTGGCAGTGCCACCCCCATCCCTTCCTCCCAACCTGCAACTTCTAATAAATTTGTGTCCACAGGACAACAACTATGCTTAGGTCCTGGCTTGCCTCCTTGACCTGGGGTTGGGGTGGGAGGGAGAGGTCTGCCAGGATTAGGATTTGTGGGCACAGGCACCCTGCCCCTTCCCATTGGTAGCTACTTGCTGTCATCCTTGGCTGTAGTTCCATCTTTGGTAATATCTGTCACCTATGGATGATGAGAGCTACACAACATAGATGGGATTTAATGAGATGAGGTTTATGTGGCCCTTAGAAGATGGCCTGGAACCTACTGGGGGAAAAACTGAGATGGAAAACAGCACCATATTCAGTCTAGAATTGTCTTCAGGGCTAAGTCTATTTAGGAATAAGACTTGTTTTCCCTTCCCTGGATTGCAATAAAATATAATGTAATTATAAAACAACCTCTCTGTCCTCAAAAAGGCATAATGAGAACTCAAGAGAGTAAATGTCTTGTTAATGGAGGTGATGGAAAGGCTTCGCAGAGAAGGTGACATTTGGACTGGGTATTCATGGAAAGACTGTCTCATGCACCAGTTACTAGGGAAGCTGTAAGCATCAGTCCCAGTTACTAGGGAAGCTGAGATGGGAGCATTGCTTGAGCCCAGGAGTTTGACGTTGCAGTGGGCTATTATTGCAGCACTGCACTTTAGCCTGGGTGACAGAGATCCTTTCTCTGATTAAAAAAAAAATTTTTTAATAAATACTGTATTTGGAAAATAGCTGGGCATTGTGGTAGGCACCTGTAGTCCCAGCTACTTGGGAGGCTGAGGCAGGAGGATCACTTGAATATAAGAGTTTGAGGTTGCTATGAGCGGAGATGCCACGGCAATCTACAAGGGTGACCAGGTGAGACTCTGTCTGAAGAAAAAAAAAAAAAGACTATCTTTGGGGCCAGACAGTTATTTAAAATTTAAATTCCAGGGCCCTATGTGACCTTGACACATTATTTAATTTCTCTGTGCCTCCACTGCCTCACTGTAACACAGTTTTTGTTTTTATAGAGACACAATCTCACTCTGTCATCCAGGCTGAAAGGCTAGGGCCTGATCATAGCTCACTGTAACCTTGAATTCCTGGCCTCATGCAATCTTCCCTCCTTTGTCTCCCAAAGTGCTGGGATAACAGGCAGGAGTCACCTTGCCGGGACTAGTGGTGGTGGTTTGGATTTCTTTTTTTTTTTGGTATATTTTTATTTTTTATTTATTTTTTGAGACAGCATCTTACTTTGTCACCCTTGGTAGAGTGCAGTGGTGTCATACCTCCCAGCAACCTCAAACTCCTGGGTTTAAGCGATTCTCTTGCCTCAGCCTCCCAAGTAGCTGGAACTACAGGTGCCCGCCACAATGCCTGGCTATTTTTAGAGATGGGGTCTCGCTCTGGCTCAGGCTGGTCTCGAACATGTGAGCTCAGGCAATCCACCCACCTTGGCCTCCCAAGTGCTGGGACTACAGGCGTGAGCCACCATGCCCAGCAGTGTATTTTTAAAGAAATGGGATCTTCTTGTGTTGCCCAGACTGGTCTCAAACCCTGGTCTCAAGCTATCCTGCCTCAGCTTTGAGTCACTGAGATCATAAGTATAAGCCACCATGCCCAATGTAAAATGGGTTTGATACTAAAATGGGTTTGTAGGATTTGAATGGGTTAATCCTATGGAAGGGTTTAGACATGTGCCTGGTGTGAACAGGTGTGAGCCATGGGTGCTGCAGTAGGAAAAGACCTCTGCTCATGGAAAAGCTATTGAAGAAGGTGTGTTTGGGGAGTGCCCTAGAATAGCGATGGGGAAGGCTGGGGGAGTTTGGACAGAGGTAAGAAAGCCTGGAAATTGAGGACATTAGAAGCCAAGACTAGGGCTAGGCGAGGTGTCTCATGCCAATACTCTGGGAGGCCGATGTGGGAGGATCTCTTGAGCTCAGGAGTTTGAGACCAGCCCTGAGACCAGCCCTGAAACCAGCTTGGGATCAGCTGGGGCATTGTGGCAGTGCCTGTAGTCCCAGCTACTTGGGAGGCTGAGGCAGGAGGATTGCTTGAGCTCAGGAGTTTTGAGGTTGCTATGAGCTAGGCTAATACCACGGCACTCTAGCCTGGGCAAGAGAGTGAGATTCTGCCCAGAAAGAAGATGGGCTAAAGAGCATAAAAGATGAGGTTAGACAATTAAGTTATCAAACACATCCTAGAAAAAGTGCTACATACCTCTATGCTGAGTATCACTATGGATAGCAGATGGCCACGGGAAGTACCATAGTACTTCGAAGGTGACCATAGTAATATTCAGCAATAAGTTATATAGCACTTTTTCTAGGATGAGTTTGAGAAAATTGACCTCATATTCATATGTATATTTTGAATCTAGAGTCACCTTCCTCCCCATGACACTAGCCACTTGGTTTCTTGCCCCAGAAGCAATGACAGTATGGTTTATTTTGTCCTTCAGAGCAAATCTAAACATACATAATCAAATGTGGTATATAATAAAAACAATTTTTTAATGTATTTGGTAATATTGGATTGCTGACACTGAGCTCTCAAAACCCTTGGAATTGTCTGAGTGATAAGAGTGCCTTTTGTTCATAGCAAGCTCCTGAGTTTATACTAATGAGGTGACTAGGTGGTGGCTGGGAGCTGAGGACATAGAGATGCTGGGATGGTGGGAGAGGGCACGGAAGCTCTGAACTCCCATCCGTAATACCTCACCATATGCATCTCTTTCATCTGGCTGTTCCTGGGTTGCTATCTTTGTAATCATGAGGTAATACTGTAGTAAGTACAGCACTTTCTCAAGTTCTGTGAGTCTTCTACTAAATTATCACACCTGAGAAAGAATTGTGGGAACCCCTGAAAGTATAGCTGACCAGGCAGAATTGTGAGTTGCCAAGGCATCCTATTTGTGGCTGGCATCTGATGTGGAGGCAGTCTTGTGTGACTGAATCCTTAACCTAGCAGTCCCCAACCTTTATGGCACCAGAGACCGGTTTCATGGAAGACAATTTTTCCATGGACTTGGGGGATAGCTTTGGGATAATTAGAGCTCATTACATTTATTGTGTACTTTATTTCTATTATTATTACACTGTAACATATAATGGAATAATTCTACAACTCAATGCAGAATCTGGGAGCCTTGAGCTTGTTTTCCTAGTTCATAGGATTCTGACTTAAAGCCTGCAGCTAGATGCAGTTGTACAATTGAAGTATATCAACTCACTTGCTACTAGAAAGCCTGCTGCCAGATGCAGCTTGATTTTCACTTACTACTCACTGATAGGGTTTTGATGAGTCTGTAAGCAATTGATTTATTATGGTCTCTGTGCAGTTAAACCTCTCTGCTAATGATAATCTGTTCCAGTGCTAGCATCACCTCCTCAGCTCCACCTCAGATCATCAGGCATTAGATTCTCATAAGGAGACTGCAACTCAGATCCTCTGCATTTGCAGTTAACAGTAGGGTTCAAGCTCCTTTGAAAGTCTAAGGCTGCCCCTGATCTGACAGGAGGCAGAGCTTAGGCTGCAATGGAGCAATGGGAAGTGGCTATAAATACAGATGAAGCTTTGCTCACTCCCTGCCACTCACCTCTTGCTGTGCAGCTCCATTCCTAACAGGACACAGATTGGTACTAGTATTGGTCCTTGGCCCAGGGGTTGGGGTATAGACTTTTAATGTAAAAAATAAAATTTATGTCTTTTAGGTTTGTATCATAGTTTTAAAAGACCCTTTCCACACTAAAAGTATTAGTAAAAATGATACTTTTCTTTTTCTTTTTTTGCATTTAAATCTTAAGGTCATCTGGAATGTCTCCTAAGATGTAAATTATGAATTCAAGTTTATTTTCTCCCTTTTTCTTGATGCCTTTTATTGAATAATTCATCTTAACAGATTTGAAATAGTACTTTTATCATGTACTAAATTCCTGTTTGTATGTGGATCTGTTTCTAAATTGCTCTATCTTCCATTGATCTATATGTGTCAGTATCCCACTTTCCTGATTACATTTTATTTTATTTTATTTTATTTTTTTGAGACGGAGCCTCAAGCTGTCCCCCTGGGTAGAGTGCCATGGCATCACAGCTCACAGCAACCTCCAACTCCTGCGCTCAAGCGAGTCTCCTGCCTCAGCCTCCCAAGTAGCTGGGACTACGGGCACCCGCCACAATGCCTGGCCATTTTTTTTTTGGTTGCAGCCATCATTGTTGTTTGGCGGGCCGGGCTGGGGATTCGAACCCACGACCTTAGGTGTATGTGGCTGGCGCCTTAGCCGCTTGAGCCACAGGCGCCCAGCCCATGATTACATTTTAAATATCAATTTGTCATGTTTTAACATCTGGTAGGGTTAGTCTTCACTAATTATTTCTTTTACTTTCAGAACATTCCTGCTTGTTTAATTTTCTGTATGACCTTTAAAACCAGTTTTTCTAGTCTTTTACCACCCCTGAAAAAAAGCCTTAGTTTTTTTTTTTGTTTTCTTTTTTGGCTTTTTTTTTTTTTGTCCAGGATAGAATGCCGTGGCAACAGCCTAGCTCATAGCAACCTCAAATGCCTGGGTTTAGGTGATCCTCTTGCCTCAGGCTCCCAAGTAGCTGGGACTACAGATGCCCAACACGCTCGGCTAATATTTTGTATTTTTAATAGAGACAAGGTCTCAATCTTGCTCCAGCTGGTCTCAAATTCCTGAGCTCAAGTGATCTTCCCACCTCAGCCTATAAGAGTACTAGGATTACAGGTATGAGCCACTGTTCCCTGCCCCCGCCACCTCCCTCCCTTAGAATTTTTAATTGTGGAGCCAGGTGCAGTGGCTCATGCCTATAATCCTAGCACTCTGGGAGTCCAAGGCACATAGATTACATGAGCTCAGGAGTTCAAGACCAGCCTGACCAAGAGCGAGAACTTGTCCACCTCTACTAAAAACAGAAACTAGCTGGGCTGGGCCCAGTGACTCATGCCTGTAACCTAGCACTCTGGGAGGCCAAGGTGGGTGGATTGCTTGAGCTCAGGATATTGAGACCAGCCTGAGCAAGAGCAAGACCCAGTCTCTAAAAAAACAAATAGCTGGACACTGTGGCAGGTGCCTGTAGTCCTAGCTACTTGGGAGGCTAAGGCAAGAGAATCACTTGAGCCCAAGAGTTTGAGGTTGTTGTGAACTATGTGACTCCATAGCACTCTGCTGAGGGTGACAAAGTGAGACTCTGTCTCAACAACAACAACAAAAACAGAAAAAAGAATTAGCCAGGAATGGTGGCAGGCACCTGTAATCCCAGCTACTCAGGAGGCCAAGACAAAGAGGATTGCTCAAGCCCAAGAGTTTGAGGTTGCTGTAAATTATGACGCTATAGCAGTCTAACCAGGGTGATAGAGTGAGACTATCTCAAAAAAAAAAAGAATTTTTAATCATGATAAATTTATAGATCAAAACTGACATGTTTATGAAGCATCTTTGTCTTTAGAACGAGGTGTCAGTCCCCTACCCTCTACTTCTTTTGGGTGGCACCAATGGCCAGTAACCCCCAAACCTCTATTTTGAGCATCAGGCTTCTTGCCCAACCTAGGCATCTCCCCTTAGAAAGGGGATCCCATAATACTACACAAACCTGATCCTGTACTGCCCCCCAGCTCAGTGTGAGGTTTCCCCTTCTCATTAGTCTGTTCAGGCGCTAGAGCCAGATCAAGGGTCTGGAGTTTGCCTTTGATCCCGGTCTCCAGGCACTGAATCTAACCAGTGATTTAAGTTCTATTGTTTGTTTGTTTGTTTTGAGACAGAGTCTCAAGCTATCCCCCTGGGTAGAGTGCCATGGTGTCACAGCTCACAGCAACCTCAAACTCTTGTGCTTAGGCGATTCTCTTGTCTCAGCCGCCCAAGTAGCTGGGACTACAGGCACCTGCCACAACACCCAGCTATTTTTTTTACTGTTGTTGTAGTGTCATTATTGTTTTAGCTTGCCCCAGTGGGGTTTGAACCCACCAGCCTCAGTGTATGTGGCCGGCGCCCTACCCACTGAGCTACGGGCGCCACGTTAAGTTCTATTGTTAACAGCTTTATCGAGGTATAATTGACATAAAAGAAACCACACATATTTAAAGTGCACAATTTTTGTTTTGATACACCCATGAAACCATATAAACATATCCATCTCTCCTCAAAGTTTCCTCAAGCCCCTTTGCAATCTCTCCCTTCTATCTTTTCCCACCTACCAGTCCCCTCCACTCCCAGGCAACCATTGATCTGCTTTCTGTCACTAGATTAGCGTGCATTTTCTAGGATTTCATATAAATGGAACTACATAGCACATATTCTTGTCTGGCTAGCTTCTTACACTCGGCAGAAGTATGCTGAGATGTAGCCATTGCTCCTTTTTATTGTTGAGTAGAATTCCATTACACTACATACCATAGATTTTTTTTCCTTTTGTTTACTCATCACCTGGTGATGACCATTTGTTGTTTCTAGTTTTTGGCTATTATAATGAAAACCATTATGAACATGTGTGCACTCTTCAGTATTGCCTAGTAATGGAATGGCTGGGTCATATAGCAGATGGATGTTTGAACTTTTTAAAGACAGACTTTATTTTCTAGAGCAATTTTAGGTTTACAGAAAGCTTTTTCAGAAACTACAGAGTTGCCATACACCCCTTCTCCCCTTAGCATAGTTTCTCCTTTAATGAACATCTTGCATTAGTGTGGCATACTCCTTACAAGTTACAACTGATGGTCGGTTTTGATACAATATTATTAACTCAAGTCCAAAGTTTACATGAGGAGTCACTTGTAGTGTTGTACATTCTATGGGTTTGCATAAATGCATAATATCTCGTAGCCATCATCACAGTTTCATACAGAATAGCGTGACTGCCCTCCAAATGCCTGTGCTCCACCTGTTCATCCCTCCCTCCGCTTCCGAAATCCTGGCAACTTCTGATCCGCTTGGTATCTCTAGTTTTTTTGTTTTGTTTTGTTTTTTTTTTTTAAAGAATGTTGTATACAGCAGTTGGAATTACACAGTAGGCAGTTTATTCATGCTTTTTAAAATTTAACAATAGCTTTTTAAAGTTTCACCATATCTTTTTGTAGCTTGATAGCTCATTTCTTCTTATTGCTGAATTTTTATTTTTATTTATTTATTTATTTGAGACAGAGTCTCACTTTGTTACCCTCGGTTGAGTGCTGTAGCATCATAGCTCACAGCAACCTCAAACTCTTAGGCTCCAGCAATTCTCTTGTCTCAGCTTCCTGAATAGCTGGGACTACAGGCACCCACCACAACACCCAGCTATTTTTAAAGACAGGCTCTTGCTCAGGCTGGTCTCTTGAACTCCTGAAATCAAGCAATCCACCCCCCTCAGCTTCCCAGAGTGCTAGGATTATAGGGATAAGGCCTAATTTAAAATTTTTTTCATACAGATGGGGTCTTGCTCTATTGCCTAGGCTAGTCTCAAACAGCTTATCTCAGACAATCCTCCCAACTCAACCTCTTGGGATTACATGTATGAGCCACACTAGGCCCCTTTGTACAAATTTGATCAGTCATGTCTTCTATCTCAAGTAGGATAAAATCTAAGCTCCCACTGCCCACCCATTTCTGCTGCTCTCCCCTCATTTCTTTCTGCTTAAGCAAAACTAGGCAAACATCAGTTCCTTCACCATGCCAAGACTTCTTACAGACAATTCCCCTCTCTGGGATCTCTTTTTGTCTGATTAATACCTCCTTTAACACTTGGACTAGATCAGGCATCAACTGTCCTTCCTCTTGGTTAACTATAATAACTGGTTCAATGTTTGTCTCCTTCAGAAGAGGCCAAGGCCATGGGCTTCACCGTCTTGTGCCCAGGGGAGCACAATGCCCTGTACATATAGCACGTGTTCAGTGCCTGTTTGGAGAACAATTGAATACAGTCAGCAGGAGTGGCAAAGGTTTGTGAAAGTGATGGTGGGGAGTATAGGACACATGGGTTGAGCCAGGGGGCTTTAGGAGGTGGCCCTTTACTACCTCTGCAGAATATCTTTCCTCTCCCAGACCTCTGGCTTCCTGAGATCTAGCCACAAGAATACTTTTGCAGTTCCCTTTATTGGTGTGTGTTCCTCCAGGCTCTAGACTTTTGCCGTGAGTACTTTTCTTTTTGGAGAGAGAGTCTTGCTCTATCATTTAGGCTGGAGTACAGTGACCTGATCATAGCACACTGGAACCTTGAACTCCTGGGCACACACAATCTTCCTGCCTCAGCATCCTGAGAACTACAAGCAAATGCCACCACACCCGACTAATTTTTTATTTTCTGTAGAGACCAGATCTCACTATGTTGCTCAGGTTGGTCTCAAACTCCTGGCCTCAGGTGATCCTCCCACCTAAGCCTCCCAAAATGCTGAGATTACACACCAGCCACTAAACCCACCCTGGGCCCTCTCCCTGTTCTTTCTGCTAGGAACACCCCTTGCCCAGTACCTTATCTAATTAACTCCTATCTGTCCATAAGCAGGACTCAGCTTCCTTAACAAATGGAGGAGAAGAGCACCCTCCCCCAGCAGGGCCTGGTCTGCCTTACTCATAGGTCTCTGCAAAGACCTGCCAGAAGGGTTTAATCAAGATTGGGTGCACAAACGCTGAATAGTGAAGGGCAAAGAGCCCAGGAGCTGGCTGCAGCCCTGACTCACCAGGTGAGGGAGTTCAGGCAAGTAGCACTCTCTCAGGCCTCAGTTTTTCTCATCTGTAAACTGGGAGTGAGAGTGCAGTCAGATTAGATCAGTGTTTAACTGGAATCCTAGAGTCCTAGGAGAGCTACACTCTGTTTCCCCAGCAATGTTGCCTATAGGTCCTATAAAGGTTGCAGCAGCTGCTGGGCTGGCGCCCAGAGACCAGTAAAAAGCCCCGATCTGGGGGACTGCTGCAGTCCCCCATACCTTTTTGGCTACCCACCTTCTTGCAGCCGGGTGGGCCTGCCGTCTTGCTGGCAGCCTCTGCCGCCCTCACCTGAGTAAGGAGGCCTATGGTGCTTCCAAATGAATTGGTTGAAGGGTGTGGGGTGAAGGCAGGGATGTCCACTTCTCAAAGTTCTGCGGTTCAAGAAACCCCGGAACGCTGGAAAGAAATGGGCTCCCACCGTCGCTCATCTTCAATCCATTCACAGTAAGCATCGGGAAACCAAGCCGCGCGGGCCAGGGACTCACCCAAGGTCACACGGTGAGCACTGTGTCTCCGCGCCCCACCCGCACGAACCGGGACGAGGAGCGGGTGGCGGAGCTCCGAGGCTGCACTGCAAGGCGCGGGGGTGGGGTGGGGGCGGGGAGGCGGCCCTGCCCGGAGCCCGGCTGCGGCGGGAACCGGCGGGGTGGGGCTGCCGTTTGCCTAGCGTCCGGCAGGGGTCCGCTTGCCGCCAGCCCGGCCCCTTTCGCAGCAGCTGCCGCAGCCCGAGGTAATCTCAGCCCGGCGCTGGGGACCTGCTGGGAGCGGGTGAGGACAGCTGCGGCCGTAGAGAAGGGGGCGCCGGGGAGAGGGCGGGTTGGGGGCTGCTGGAGGCGGAGCCGCCAAGGCCCGAGGGTCCGGAAGGGCCCGCCGCGGGGCCAGCGCTGGGTGGGGCCGCCTGGTCCTGCAACTCGAGCCACTGCCCCTGTTTAAAAATACCCCAGGCCCTGCCCTTCCCCACCCCCCGCGGTGCCCTTCAGTCCCCAGACTCCCGCCCTGACCCGCGCTGGCCCCTCCCCAGAGACTACTCTGCCTTTTACTAATTTGTCCTCTCACGGAGTTGGCCAGTGGCCTGCAGAGAGAGGGAGGGGCGGGGGAGACACCGAGCGTCAAAGACCTTGCCCGAGAGATAAGGTAGAGCCCAGAGGAAGCGGGGTAGGAGCCCCGGAGTAGGAGAAGGAGAGAGGGAGGGCGGAGGGGCGGCGGGAGGAGGGCGGGGAGGAGCGCTCTTCCTGGTTGGGCCCTGCCCTGAGCTGCCACTGGGAAGCCAGCTGCAGGGACCGCAGCGACCCCCAAACCCTCCTCCCCCAGGTAAGAAACTGGGTGGCCGGGCCGGGATTCCCTGACCCCAGGCACGATTCCCAGGCTGCCCCATCTCGGCCCTTGCTTGGGGTCCTCCGCGCTCCAGGGACCGGGTGGGGGCTCGGAAAGTGGCTCAGCCCATGCGCCTGCCCCAGCCTGCGCTCACCACTGTCCCCAGGGCCTGGGCTGGGGCCTGCCAGGTCTGTATTCCAGACTGTATAAGGGTCTGGGGAGGAGGATCCCGACTGCCTGGAGTTCTCAGCCCCAAGGAAAGGGGCCAGTGTGCTAGGAGCTTGGCTAGTTTGGGGAGGGCATTACATGCCAGCAAACGGGATCGGGATCGGAGGCCTTCCCGGCTCCTTGTGCTATCAGGAGGCTCCGCCCTGCCCCACCTGGCTTTGGGGCTGACCACAGAGCTGCAGGCCTAGGACAATGAAGAGCCGGAAAAGGAGAGGTGGTGGCATTGTGATGGTGGGGGTATAGGGAGGTGGTGGTGGTGGGGGAGATGGTGGTCTGCACACCTGGGAAGTAGGGACTCACTTTCCTAGATTCTGGGAGAGGTGTCTGGGAGCCCTGATTCCCCAAGGGGAGCAATGAGCCAGGAGAACTCTGGGTTTGGAGCTGAAGAGTGGGCAGGGGCAGGAGTGCAGGTTCTAGTCCTGGGAAGGCCAGGGCTCTGAGCAGGCCCATCTGTCTCTTAGGATGGCGGAGGAGATCATCACACCAGTATACTGCACTGGGGTGTCAGCACAAGTGCAGAAGCAGCGGGCCAAGGAGCTGGGCCTGGGACGCCATGAGAATGCCATCAAGTACATGGGCCAGGATTATGAGCAACTGCGGGCTCGGTGCCTGCAGAGTGGAACCCTCTTCCGTGATGAGGCCTTCCCTCCAGTGCCTCAGAGCCTAGGATTCAAGGACTTGGGTCCCAACTCCTCTAAGACCTATGGCATCAAGTGGAAGCGTCCCACGGTGAGGGGGACCAGCCTCAATGGGACTCACCTGACCCCTGACCCTGAGTGAGGAATAGAGATGGGACTGTAGGTCCTTGGTGGGGAGTGAGGTCTGATATGGGTGGGTGCCAGTTTCTGGGAGAAACCGGCATAGGGACAGGACTCTGGGTCTCTTGTAGGAGCTGCTGTCAAACCCCCAGTTCATTGTGGATGGAGCTACCCGCACAGACATCTGCCAGGGAGCGCTAGGTAGGCCCCTCCAGGTGGAGTTCTGAGTGTTTTTTCCACGGTAGTTCCCCGTTCCCGTTCCTTTGGGCTCTGTCCCAACTCCTCCCTCCTGCAAGCCCAGACAGGCTCTGGCTGTCAGCACGAGGGCTGGTTTGCCCAGATTCCTGGGCCTTTTCTGTAAGCTGAGGAAAGTTGACAAGCGCTTGGGTCTTCCTCAAGCATGAGCACCCACGGGCACCACCCCAGAGGCAGATTGGTAGAGCAGGCTAATGTGGGTCCCTTTCATCTCAGGGGACTGTTGGCTCCTGGCTGCCATCGCCTCCCTCACTCTGAACGACACCCTTCTGCACCGAGTGGTTCCACACGGCCAGAGCTTCCAGAATGGCTATGCTGGCATCTTCCATTTCCAGGTGAAGGGGGAGGAGGGGTAGCAGGCACTGGGGAAGATGTGGAAGGGTGACCCACAGCACTCTGAAGTGAGGGTGGCCAAGGGCCACACCTTGTGGGGACCAGCCCTCCCTGTAGAAGGTATTTGACCTCTCAGTGCCATCTTGGGTCTGTCATGTGTGAAACAGTTGGGCAGGTATTTCAGCTGGCATTTACCTGGGTGGTTGTACATATGGGGTAGAAAGTAGTTGGAAGGGTAGAAAGACTTCTGTGTTATATCCTGTGGGACAAATTTTCTTCCTCCCTGGGGTCTCAGTTTCCACATTTGAAAAAGGAGTGTGCCCCTGGAGCAAACAGATCAGCATATGTGTCACCACCTGTCAGTCCTCCCATCCCCCAACTCCTTCTGACAGCCCAGCAGAAAGTCTATTTACACCAGCTTTTCCTGACATTGTTTGTACACAGGGCCCATTTTTCAAGTCACACAAATTCATTCTCAATGAGCTAGTGTTGGTAGAGACACACCCCAGCAACCCTGGATGAGACCCTCCAGCCTTGGTGGCCTCTAGCTCTATCTGGCGAGCTCTTATGTATCCTCTCTTTCCGCCTAGTCAGGGATCCCCTTATCCCACGCTGTATCCCACCTTGCACAGGAGCAGGTAGACTACAGGACCCACAGTGTAGATCCACTTTTGCCAAGAAGCCTCCTAGGGTCTAGTCTGCAGGAGCCTCATCATCCATTTCCCCTTTTCCCTTCCCTCACTCCTTCAATCGCCTCCTCCCTGGCCTCTAATTGGCTTGCTCAACACCCATCCCCCTTCACAACAGCAACCTGTGCCCTTTGGGTCCCCGCCTCAGCCTCAGCTGCCTTCATTGTTCTGGCCCCAGCACCTCCAATAGTGTCTGGAGCCCTTGGTCTCTTCTGGGTATAGGTGCCGAGCCTGGCCCCTTACTCCTTCTCTGAGAAATCTGCCCCTCGGGGCATCTCTGGAGTGAACCCTGTCATTGTGGAAGTTCACCTCCAGCCCTGCCCATCCTCTGGTTGAAGGATGTGGATGCCATATTTTCATTCCACATCCAGTGACATGCTTATCCCCATAAGTCCTGGAACTCAGGCCTAGAATGGTTAGGGAAGAGGTAGGGCGCAGGGATTAAAAGGGGGCTAGTTCATGGAGAGCCCAGCTTTAGGTTTGTGCTACGCTAAAGGTTTTTTTACCTGTGTGCTCAGTGAGAAAGGCACTGCTGCTGCCTTTTATGGGTAGGGAAACTGAGGCTCAGAGAGGATAATTTGCTCAGGATCATGTGTCTAGTTTACTCCAGGGGCAAAGGAAAGGTCCTCAGCCCTATGAAGGTTTGCTGAAAACTCAACTCACAAAAGGAAATTGGCTTGGCACCTATAGCTTAGCAGCTAGGGTGACAGCCACATACAACAGAGTTGGTGAGTTCGAACCTAGCCCGGGCCTGCCAAACAACAATGACAATTACAACAAAAAAGCCAGGTGTTGTGGTGGGTGCCTGTAGTCCCAGCTACTTAGGAGGCTAAGGCAAGAGAATTGCTTAAGCCCAAGAGTTTGAGGTTGCTGTGAGCTGTGACACCATGGCACTCTACCCAGGGTGACATAGTGAGACTGTCTCAGAAAAAATAAAAGGAGGAGATTAATAAGAACAATGGTATATAAATTTATTAACATACATGGAGGGGGAATCACAGACTGATTACTCCAACCCTTCGATGGCTACAGAAAAAATGGAGGCTTGAGCATGGCCCTAAACAGGTTATGGTAGCAAGACAGGTTTTGGGGGGATGGGAGGCAAGGGGAGACCTGCAAAGGTGGCCTTGCTGTATAGGTGAAACCTCACAGGTAGCAGCCCCCAGAGATGGTGAATGTTTCTTTCAGGACTTTAAAGTTGTTGGATTCAGTAGATCTTTCCAAGATCTCAACAAGGCAGGGCCTTAGAGAAAACCTGGTTGTATCAATGCAGATTTTCTCTACAGATGCAAATTTCCCCCCAAAAAGGCAGAGGGCTACTTCTGTTCTCAAGTCTTCTGAACAGCCATCTCAAAATATGTATATTTGGGAGTGAAATATGCTGATTTCCTTCAACACCTAGATACATGTATCTAGTGTATATCCAGTATACATATATTTAGTATATATTTAGTATACATGTATCTAATATATGTGATCTGGTATACATGTGTCTCCTGTACATCTAGTATACAGGATGATTCAGTATATGTGTATCTCGTGTATATATAGTATACGTGATGACTTAGTATACGCGTGTCTTGTGTTTATTAATAGTATAAGTGATGATTTAGTATATATGCCTCTCGTGTATGATCTAACACACATGCATTTAGTGTGTATCTAGAGTAACACATTGAGTAAGTGGTAAGGGTGGAGCTCAGACCTGGGAGGTCCCAAGGTAGGTGCTCACTGTGCCCTTCCCCGACAGCTGTGGCAATTCGGGGAGTGGGTAGATGTGGTCGTGGATGACATGCTGCCCATCAAGGATGGGAAGCTGGTGTTCGTGCACTCTGCTGAGGGCAACGAGTTCTGGAGCGCCCTGCTCGAGAAGGCCTACGCTAAGTGAGTAGGGGCCCCAGGGACAGCTCCAGCCTACCTTGTGGGTGAGGGCTCCTGACCCTATTATCAGGTCCTGTTTGATGCCAGTGCACTGATCTGGGGCTGCCCACAGGGTAAATGGCAGCTATGAGGCCCTGTCAGGGGGCAGCACCTCAGAGGGCTTCGAGGACTTCACAGGAGGAGTCACTGAGTGGTATGAGCTGCGCAAGGCACCCAGTGACCTCTACCAGATCATCCTCAAGGCACTGGAGCGAGGCTCTCTGCTGGGCTGCTCCATTGATGTGAGTACATCCAGCCCCAACCCTGGTACTCTGCAACCTGGTATTGTGACCTGTCCTGTCTTCCAGTGGTTCCCACTCCCCAACCTAGCCCTAGCCTCACCCATCACTCTAGCCTCACCTTCCACATCCGCACCTGGCACCACTGCCTGCTCTTTCCCTCAAAACCTCAAACCTTAACCTTCCTTAGACTTGATTTTCTGACCACCCACCTTGTCCTTCTCATTCACTGTACCTCAATTCCCAGGCCTCTCTCATCTTTGATCTCCAACTTGACCCCAACATCACTAACCTCAGCCTCCATTCCCATCCCTGACTGGCTGTATCCTAACCTCACATCCCTCTACGGGAGGCGCTCTGCAGGATGTGTGGCTCTGGGGGCTGTGCTTGGCCATATGTGTGTACATGTGTGTGTTTGTACAGGTCTGGCAAGCCTTGGCCAGTAGTAGTTTCAGTGGGAGTGCCAGTGTTCCCTCCACCCCCTGGGGCAGTGTTGGTGGAGTGGCTGGGCTGCACCCTGCCTCCCCTGGCAAGGCACAGCATCTGTGTGTGGGAGCAATGGACTAGATGGCTAAGCGGGATCAGGGTCCCTGCCTGCCACTCCCAGAAGCTGGGAACATCCAAAACCCATGAGTGCTTGGGGCTATTCTGTGGGGGGTGGGGGGGAGCTGACCACAAAGCATGTGTCTTTCTGCAGATCTCCAGTGTTCTAGACATGGAGGCGATCACCTTTAAGAAGCTGGTGAAGGGCCACGCCTACTCTGTGACCGGGGCCAAGCAGGTACTGCCCTGGGTGTTGCCTGCCCTGCAGGGGTAGCTCCTGCCTCCTTGCCTGTCCTCATCTCTGGCATCTGACCAGGGTTGGGGAGCCCCTGGCTCCTCCTACGGCCTCCTACAGCCTCTTTATCTCTCTCTTTGGGACACCCCACTTGAGATGCTTATCATGTCCTGCCCTGATTGGCTGTAGTTCATCTGTAAATTCCTGGAGCATAGGCTTCATGTGGGAGCTGAGCAGGGCTCAGAGAGGGTGAAGTGGTACAGGAGGTGGGCTGGGAAGGGGTATTGATGTGCATGCCAGAAGCAGGTGCTGATGAGAGCTCTGGGGAACAGGTGAACTACCGGGGCCAGATGGTGAACCTGATCCGGATGCGGAACCCCTGGGGCGAGGTGGAGTGGACAGGAGCCTGGAGTGATGGGTGAGGGGCAGTGGGCATTGGCCGGGGAGGCTTGGGGAAGCTCTTAGTTGCCCCTGATACTTCTGCCCAGGCTAGACTCAGGATTGAGCAGAGGGGCCCGTCTTCATGCTGCTGGGTCTGGGGGACTGCCCTGACAGAGCTCAGACTGTGTGGGCCGCTGCGCCCAGCCTGCAGTTTTGCTCAAGGCATCCAACTGGTCCTGATAAGACATGAAACTGAACTCTCAGGACTTGACCTTGAAGAAGACTTCTGACCTGGGCTGGAGTAGACAGACCAGGGTGGACAGGCCCCTGGGACAGAGGCCAGGCAGGTCAGTGCCCACCAGCCCTGGCAATAGCCTGCTCCCCACAGCTCTTCAGAGTGGAACAATGTGGATCCTTACGAACGGGAGCAGCTCCGGATCAAGATGGAGGATGGGGAGTTCTGGTGAGTGGCCTCTTCCTCAGTCTGGCCTCTCCCCTCCTCTCAGTCCCTATAAACCCAGTCCAGGCAGCATCCCTCCATGCTCTGATTGGGGCTGTGACTCACCTCTGCACTTTGACACTCAGGATGTCATTCCGAGACTTCCTGCGTGAGTTTACCCGCCTGGAGATCTGCAACCTGACGCCCGATGCACTCAAGAGCCGGTCACTGCGCAATTGGAACACCGTGCTGTACGAGGGCACCTGGCGGCGGGGCAGCACTGCGGGGGGCTGCCGGAACTACCCAGGTGACTGAGCCTGTGGGCTCTAGGGGGTTGAGGCTGGACCTTGCTGCTTCCTGGCTTGGGGTCTCTGGCAAGGCACGCCACCCCTCTAAGACTATTTCCTCACTTGTTAAGATAGAGGTGTCAGGCTGATCTCTTGAATTTGCTTTGAGGAGTAAAACATTAAATGTCCTTATAAATTCTAAACAACTGCACTTCACCCACCATGCTGGAGCTTGAGCCCTTCCCTCCTAGTCACCACCTTCTGTCTTCTCACACCTTTCCATGGGTTTCTAGGTCCATGCAGCTGACACGAACATTTTCTTCCACCTAAGCTCAACCTCTGCCCTCAGGTACACCAGAGCTGTCTTGCTTTGCAAACGTCCACCCTCTGACCTGTACCTGGGACCTTTTTAGCTTCCTTACTCCAACACCCCTCAGCTTCATGGAACCCAGGCTTTTCCTTCACCTCCTGTCTTGCCTTCTCTCCTTAGCTAGGTTAGAGTCATCATTTTAATCTTGTCCATACAAACTCTCTCAGTCTGCTGGCTCCTCTCTCCTTCTCTGCTCCTGTCACCTGGGACACCAATCCTAGTTGAACCCAGCTCTCCACCAGCTTGGGAACCATTTAATGTGGCAGGAGAGAAATCACAAACGAGGCTGCATTTTTTCGATAACTTTACAGCCACAAATCTCAAATGAGCACTTTGCACACTCTCCAGCAATTCCACTACTTGCTAGGGAATGTTCTCATTGTCTCTTTAACCTCCCCTTACTGTTCTCACCTTCAGACCTGGCCTTGCACTTTATTGAAAAGATAGACCTCAGCTGGGTGCAGTGGCTCACACCTGTCATCGTACTACTCTGGGAGGCTGAGGCAGGAGGATTGCTTGAGCTCAGAAATTTGAGACCAGCCTGAGCAAGAGCAAGACCCAGTCTCTACTAAAAATAGAAAATTAGCCAGGTATAGTGGCATATGTTTGTAGTCCCAGCTACTTAGGAGGCTGAGGCAGGAGGATCACTTTGACCCAGGAGTTGGAGGTTTTAGGATCTAGAGGCTAGGCTGCACTCAAGCCTGCGCAATAAAGTGAGACTGTCTCAAAAAAAAAAAAAAAGAAAAGAAAAGAAAAATACACCACCTCAAATTCCACCTCCAAATCCCCCAGCCTTGTCTACATCTGTTCTGGTCCTTACTGCCTCCCCACCTGTGACAGAGGCAGAACTGTCCCTGCTCACGGGGCCCCGCTACCTCTCAAAGCGTTTGCTCCTTCATCATCACTTTCTCCTATGTCATTATGAAGAATCCTCAGTCTTCAAATGAAGCAATCCTCGCTTGACCCCACTTTCCTACCCATTTCTTTACTTCCCTTCAAAGCAGAATTTCTCAAGACTTACCACCCCCTGTGTCCTTTCTCCCCTCAGGTTCATTGGTTAACCCTTACCAGACCATCCCTGCCACTCTATGGAAACTGCCCTTTTCAAGATTACTTATGGCTTTGGCTTTGCCAGGCCTCTGCTGCCCTGTCCTTCTGTCCTGCACACTCCAACAGTTCTCAGCATGGCTCATTGCCCTCTGTTTTTATTATAGTCATCCCAGTGTGTGTGAAGTGTTATTTCTTTGAGGGTTTTGGGGTTTGGGGGATTCTTTTTTTAATCTCCCTTAAATTTTATTTGGGGTCAGGGTACTTATTTAGGTTTTGATTTGCATTTCCCTAATGACTAATGATATTAAGCATCTTATCGTGTGTGTGTGTGTGTTGGCCATTCGTGTATCTTCTTTGGAGTGTCTAGTTAAATATTTTGCCCATTTTTATATTGAGTTATTTTTTTCATCATTGAGTTATAAGTGTTCTTTATATATTCTAGGTTTGACTCTTATAAAATAGATATTTATTATCCTACTTTGTGCACAGAAGTTTTTAACTTTGATGTTGCTCAATTTATGTATTGTTTTGTTGTTGGTGGTCATGGTTTTGGTTGGTGTCATAGCTAAGAATCCATTGCCAAAGCCAAGGTCATGAAAATTTATCCCTTGCTTTTTCTAAGAATGTTATGATTTTAGTTCTTACATTCAGATTTTTGGTTCATTTTGACTTAATTTTTGTACATTAAGTCCATGAAGTAAGGGTCCAACTTAATTATCTTCCATGTGGAAATACAATGGTGTCAACATCATCTGTTGAAAAGAGCTATTCTTGGGTGGCGCCTGTGCCTCAGTGAGTAGGGTGCTGGTCTCATATGCCAAGGGTGGCGGGTTCAAACCCACCCCTGGCCAAACTGCAACAAAAAATAGCCAGGCATTGTGGTGGGTGTCTATAGTCCCAGCTACTCAGGAGGCTGAGGCAACAGAATCGCCTAAGCACAAGAGCTGGAAGTTGCTGTGAGCTGTGACGCCATGGCACTCTACTGAGGGTGATAAAGTGAGACGCTGTCTCTACAAAAAATAATAATAATAAAAAGAAAAGAGCTATTCTTTTCTCATTGAATGTTCTTGGCACCCATGTCAAATAATCAATTGGCCATAGATATATGGGTTTATTTTTGGACTCTCAGTTCTATTCTTTTGGCCTATGTATCCATCCTTATGCTAGTACCACACCATTTTTGTTGGTTGGTTTGCTTGCTTGCTTGCTTGCTTGTTTTTTAAAAAAGAGATGGAGTCTTTTTTTTTTTTTTTTTTTTTGAGACGGAGTCTCAAGCTGTCCCCCTGGGTAGAGTGCCATGGCATCACGCTCACAGCAACCTCCAACTCCTGGGCTCAGCCTCCCAAGTAGCTGGGACTACAGGTGCCCACCACAACGCCTGGCCATTTTTTGGTTGCAGCCATCATTGTTGTTTGGCGGGTCCGGGCTGGGGATTCGAATCCGCCACCTTAGGTGTATGTGGCTGGCGCCTTAGCCGCTTGAGCCACAGGCGCCGAGCCAAGAGATGGAGTCTTAACCTTATCTCCTTGGCTTGGTAAGCGAGCAGTGGCGTGATCATACCTCATTGCAGCCACCAAATCCTGGGCTCAAGTGATCCTTCTGCCTCAGCCACCTGAGTGGCTGGGACTATAAGCACACACCAGCATGCCCAGCTAATTTTTTTTTTTTTTTTTGAGATAGAGTCTGACTTTGTCGCCCTTGGTAGGGTGCCATGGCCTCATGGTTCATAGCAACCTCAAACTCTCGGGCTCAAGCAAGCAATCCTCTTGCTTTAGTTTTTCATTTGTAATAGAGATGGGCTCTCACTTTTGCTCAGGCTGATCTTGAACTCCTGAGCTCAAGCAATCCACCTGGCTTGGCCTCCCAGAGTGCTAGGATTACAGGTGTGAGCCACTGCGTCTGGCCTAATTTTTAAAATTTTTTTGTACAGACAGGGTTTTGCTCTATTGCCCAAGCTTATCTTGAACTCCTGTCCTCAAGTGATTCTCCTGGCTCAGCCTCCCAGAGTGTTGGAATTATAGGCATGAGCCCACTGAACTCAGCCCAGACTGCTTTGATTATGTAGTTTTATAGTAAGTTTTGAAATTGGGAAGTGTGAGTCCTCTAAGTTTGTTCTTTTTCAAGATTGTTTTGGCTTGTAGGCCTATTACAATTCCACATTAATTTGAAGATGAGGTTTTCCACTCTGAGAAGAAGAGAGCTGGAATTTTGATAGTAATTTCATTAACTCTGTAGATCATTTTGAGTGGTATTGAGGTATTAGTAACATCAAGTTACTCAATCCATGAACATAGGCTGTCTTTTTTTGTAGTTGTTGGTGTATAAGTCACCTTCCTCATTGTATTTGTTTATTTTATTCCTTTAGATGCTGTTGTACAGGAATTTTTTTTTTTTTGAGACAGTATCACTGTGTCACCCTCTATAGAGTTCAGTGGCATCACAGCTCATAGCAACCTCAAACTCTTGGGCTTGAGCAATTCTCTTGCCTCAGCCTCCCAAGTAGCTGGGACTACAGGCACCTGCCATAATGCCTGGCTATTTTTTTGTTGTAATTGTCGTCGTCGTTTGGCAGGCCCAGGCTGGGTTCAAACCCGCCAGTCTTGGTATATGTGGCAGGCACCCTAGCCGCTGAGCTACAGGTGCCAAGCCTGTACAGGAATTTTTTTCTTAATTTTGATTTCAGATTGTTTATTGCTGGTGTATCGAAATACAATAGATTTTTGTATCTTGATTTTGTAACCCACAACTTTGCTGAATTCGTTTATCAGCTCTGGTAACTTTCTTGTGGATTCTTCGTGATTCCCTTACATATAGTATCATGTCATATGTGAACAGAGATAGTTTTACTTCTTCCTTTCCAATTTGGGTATCTTTCGTTTCTTTTTCTTGCCTAACTGTCCTAGCTAGAACTTCCACTACTATGCTGATTAAGTGTGACATAAGTGGTATCTTGTTCCTGATCCTAGGGGGAAATCTTTCTTTCACCAGTGAGCATGATTTTAGCTGTGGGTTTTTCATAAATGCTCCTTATCATGTTAGGAAGTTCTCATCTATTCTTAACTTTCTGATTTTTTTTTTTAACATGAAAGGATGTACTTCTGTCTCAGTTGAGATAGATGATCATGTGGAGTTTCTCCCCTTCATTCCATTGATGTGATGTATGACATTGATTTTCTTTTGTTGAACTACCATTGTAGTTTTGGAATAAATCCTACTTTATTGTGGATATTCTTTTTAATATACTGTTGGATTTGGTCTGTTAGCATTTTTTGGAGGATTTTTTGCATCTATGTTTTTTGTTTTTTGGAGACAGAGCCTCAAGCTGTCGCCCTGGGTAGAGTGCTGTGGCATCACAGCTCACAGCAACCTCCAACTCCTGGGCTCAAGCGAGTGTCTCTTGCCTCTGCCTCCCAAGTAGCTGGGACTACAGGTGCCCGCCACAACGCCTGGCTATTTTTTGGTTGCAGCCATCATTATTGTTTGGCGGGCCCGGGCTGGATTCGAACCCACCACCTTAGGTGTATGTGGCTGGCGCCTTAGCCACTTGAGCCACAGGCACTGAGCCTGCATCTATGTTTATAAGTGATATTGGCCTGTAAT